TCCTTTCTCTGGTGATATTATTTTTTCCATTCAGTTGATTCTGATATGTGAATTGACCCTTTTGATAAGTATTTCTGTAGATTTCGAAAGTGGAAATGGTATAATAGAAACAATAGTCTTCCCCTCAATTTATCAGCCAGCGTCCCCATACTTTGAAATAGCTATATATTTTGTTGGCTTGTTTGCAGTTAACATACACTTAATTGGACGAAATCAGATATGCAGCCGATGTTGATCTCTTGGTCCGTTCTACTACCTTCTCCCTGTAGCGATTTACTTGGGTCATTACTTGTAATCTATCAAAATATCCACTTTACGATGATGCACTGCGGTATGTATACTTGGAACTGTGACAAAATGCACCTATGTATAAAAGCAACTTTTATAAACCCCTGGTTAAAATATTCTTTCTAACAGGGACTTAGCCAAGCTGATCAGATTGGAGTGGTAGTCAAACCTTTGTGATATGTGTCTTACTAGCACGTGCTCTCTTTAGGACCCCAGCGTCAGTATCCCATATATTTTAATTGCTAATTTACCTGAAAAAACACAGGAACATTTAATAGGGCAAGTTGCTAATTGACATTTTTGTATAATAGACATTATTGAAATTTACAAACAAACATGACATGTACTGCCATATTTCAAAACTGCAAAATTGGATTGTACACAATATGAAACTTACGCTAAAGTATGTCTTATACTCCATGTAGTTTGTTTCTCTGCCCATATTGTTACGTATATCTATATTTTTGCAAGTCGTGGTGCATGATTTTATTTAATGTTGTAACTTTTGTTCATGGCTGTAAATTTTACAGAATATCTTTAATTAGGTTATGCCTACGTGACCTGGGTCTGTTAAGAGATTAATATTACAAAGGATCTCCACATGGGTCTTTACGTATGTGTTGACAAGTACTCATAATAATCGTACTAATAATATTTAAGGACGTATTTGGATTAATTTCTCATTAGCTGATGAAGTTTGGACGATTCTGGAAGAATTCGCTAATTTTCCATTGGTTGGGCTAGGTCGCATGAAACAAACTGTGTAGTGTGATCCATAATGTGGAGTATATTGTGAAATATAGTTGTAATAAACGGTGTATTTTAGAAGAGAATTGAGCAATCAGATTCATTCCGACTTTGGAGTCATCCCCGTTTCTTGTGTTCCTGTTGTAAGTATGCAGACGTGTACTTAGATATCATTCGAGAGGAAAAACATTTTGGACTGTTCAGTGAAACGCGAACGTGCTTTTTTGACTATAATATTTTTTGGTACTATTGTAAGTTATTCAAAGGAGTTCTGGACAACACCATCTTCACAACGTAATGATTCTCGGAGGACATGTACATTTCCGGTTTTGAAATTTATACGGAACTTTTCATTCTGTGGGACTTTCATAGAAATTTATCAGGTTTCCTTTGGATTCACTTCATAATTCCGTAAGTTTCTCTCAAGTTTTTCTTTCATAACTCTGATAATGAAATTGTTTAAGTTTTACAAAACTTGTTGGTTTTGCTTTTTTTCTTTTACTTAATTTATGACAACAGAGTCGTAACAATAATAGCACGTCCAAAACACCCCTCAAAGATAAAAAGTTTAGCAGATATAGCACACACAAGAAATAAGGACTTGTTTTTATAGACTTTAAGTCCTCTAAGATAATTGATTTGTTGTTCAGTCTAATAAAACAGTCGATAAAAAAATAACATTCAATCGGAACCTCTTTTCATTGTCGTAATCTGCATCCTGTATTTCTATTCCAGATCTCATTAAAATTATAATGTCTGCTTTACGAAATGTTTTGGTCCTTTAGTATCTTCTTCATTTTCATTCGGGTGTAAATCTATATATTCCGCAATTCTCATCTTTGTATTTTCTTTGCATTCACTTCTTGTTCGTTAACTCAGTCTTTCATATATTTCATTCTTACATCTAATCTTTCTTACCAACTTACATGCACGTATCTATGTTTGTTGGTCCGTTTCTCTATGCATTCATCTAGATTATAAGACTGACTAAATGAATTAATGACAATCTCATGAATAATTATTTAGAAGTTTTAAAAAATCTTTAGAAAATTCTTAAGGCACATTGATATAATTATAACTGATACAACCATGGTGGAGGAATTCCTGAAGATTATATCTGAATTTTATCTAGCGAACAAATATGCGTGATTAAAAACTTGTATGCATTAACTTTTGCAAATATTAAAAAATTGTACGTCTCCAGTTTGGCATGCAAAGGTAAATTAGCCAACAATTTTTTTTTATTATAAAGAGTGCAAGTCATTTGGGAATGTTGAGAAGTGTCTATGAAAAGCATTACTTCTTTACATTCCTCAGGAATTAACTATATTTAGATGTTCTTGCCATTAATTTGTTCTAGCCATAGCTTAATATTGAAGCAGGTAGATATGAAGTTGACATTGCTTCAAAGATTTTTTGAAACTAATGTTCCAAAAATAATTTACTATTACTTCAGGAAGAACACTATGTACTTTGTTTAAATTCCCTAGATGTTAGAGAAACACAATAAAAGTTGGTGTGCCATTCCATCTGAATAAACTCTATAGCTTAAGACCATGTCAGTGTACTCAGTTTATAATCTATTTATTAGCAAGACAAAATATGTATTTAATGTATGGCTATACTGTAGGAAGTGTATTGCTCCAATATAGTTACCTTCGTATGTATTATAGGACGGTAGCCTCAATTACTGAAATAAAGAATGTAAATTTTCTTCGAATTTCACTAGTAGAGAGATGACACTGTAACCATCTTTTCAGTTGTATAACAAAGTTACTTTATTGTAGGTTCTAAGGTAATTTTCCCCTGGCACATCGCCCAGGCTATTATCTCTGCATATTGAATCGCAGCAGCATGTTAAAAAGTTTGTTTTTTGCATGAGGTCATTACACATTACGTCACAGCCGCCTAATTCGTAACTAGCCCTATTGTACAACACATTTTTTGAGCTACCATTACTAGTTAATTCGAATTATTTGGTGTTGTAATGTATTATTGTTAAGAGGCATCCTTATTTGATGTACAGGTGAAAGTCTATTCTACGTTTGTGCAATGTTTATACCTGATGGTGAAACGCAAAAATGGTTCCGATCCGTTAGTAAGCGCTTTGTTGATTACCATTCTAGCCAAACACGATATTTCGCAGTTCAGTAATGCATGTGTCGATATGAACGTTGGATTACCAGTGAATAAGGATGTATTATGGAACCTATAGCATTTTACCCAGCATGTAACGGAAGCGAAGATAAAACAAGCACCTGATGTACCTCGCCAAATCCATTAATGCTTTTATTTAAAACGACCATACAACGGCGCCTCTTACAGATCCTAACTAGCCATTTTGAAGGCCAGAAAGATGGTCGACGCACTCATATGCCAATACGCTTCCAAATTACTCTAGGGTCAAAGGAAAAGTTATCCATAATGAGTTTCAGGATGAGTTTGAAGTTCTGAAATGCATGGTTACACCCTTTCAAGACCAACATTCGTAATCATATGATGCGCATCTGAGTCATACTTATGTCCGTTCACTTGTTCGTAGTGGTCAAGATCATTAAGAGCATGGATATTATTACGAGAGTGTACGAATTAATATTATTTTTAGTATGCATCAGTGTAGGACCGGAAAATTTCACCTCGACGGTCAGCATTTTGCATCAAGCACGAAGTCTTGTTGTGTCTCATGCAAAAGTCTCAAATTTTTCTAACCTACAACCATGCGTAATAAATAATTATTTTTCTAACCATCCTAAATGAACAATAAATGTCGAAGTCAAAATGGCGTATTTTCAATACCAATATATCTTTCAAACAATAAAATATTCGACATAAATGTCTTGCTCAGAAGGTTATTTACAAGTAATCATGCAAAATACATACTAGATCTTTCCAACGCATTAGATATGCCATACTGCTGTTTGGGTGGATGTGGAAAGCATATTACATTAAAAGAGTGCATATGCAAATTCAATCGTTTAGTTGATGTAAAAGTTTACCCAAAATTAGTCTCAGTATGGGAGAAATCATAGAACACTGTTCTTGAGCCAAAGGTGTCACATTTTCTGAAGTAATGGATTCATAGGTTCAATTCTGATGGTACAAAATATATAAAACTACCCATAATATTTTATACAGCGAAACGGATCATTTTGCCACCAAACAAATCGTGGTTTCGTTTGTTCCAAATTTATTATTATCATTGGGTTTTTGTCATGTTTGGTGAAATGATTGTGTATGATACCAGTTACTTTTACTTATGTTTAAACAAAGATATATTGTTTTCTTTACATATAATTTTACATTTATATTGGTTGATTCACCTGCATTAAAATAGTGTTGGAAAACGAATTACATAATAATTATTTTCTGTCCTTTTCATTTACAGAAAATTAACAAGCAGGTTCTGATTATACACTACCATGTTCAAATTTATATACTTTCTTAATTTTAAAAGCACACATTCCAAGACAAGGAGATATTATATTTATCTACATAGGAATAATGTTATATTTCAATGGACATTATCTTTCTTGTATAAGTCTACATTTTCTTTCCATTGGAAATAATCTTTCTTTATTTTATCAGTCTCCATTTTCTCCCTTTCTCTATCCATCATACAGGGAGTCCTTGCTTTATTGATGCCTGAACTTCGTGAAACACTCAGAATGTATATTGCACCAATATCTAAAAATTGTCACATAGATTTAAAATAATTTTATTTATATTCTGTGATGTGATTATGTTTTTAAGTAGCTTGAACAATTTTTCAGTCATATCGCTACAATGTCTGCAGTGTGGAGGTTTATAGTAATGTCTAGCACTGGGGCATCATGCCGAAGACATGTACCATGATATCTCACCCAGTCACATTATCCTGACACCAGGCCGACGAGTCCTAATACTAACCTCTTAATGCTGAGTGTCAAGCGAGGCAGCTGTTAGTACCTTTTTGTAAGTCTTTTGTATGACTCAACCGGGCATCGAACCCATTGACCTCCCGCATCCAAGGCGGACGCTCTAATCTCTAGGCCACCGGATCGGTTATATATACTCCTGTTTCTCTTCATGTCGTATTAATCTTTCGCCTTTTAGCTATTTATATTTCATTTATAACATATTTCCTTTACTTTTTTCGCTTTACTGTGAATCACACATAATCACACACACACACACAATCACACACTCACACATCTTTTCTCTCTCTCTCTCTCTCTCTCTCTCTCTCTCTCTCTCTCTATATATATATATATATATATATATATATATATATATATATATATATATATATATATATATATATATATATATATATATATATATATTAGACTAATTGAAATTTGCTTACAATTAACATTCTGCTAGGATTCTCAGTTGCTTCAGATCTGTTGATTATTATCTTTTCTATTCGAGAATACGTGAAGCAGGAAATGCATGAAAATTTGTTTAAACTTTTAGACTTTAAAACACACTTCAAATTAGCCTACTACTACTACTACTACTACTACTACTACTACTACTACTACTACTAATAATAATAATAATAATAATAGCAATAATAAAATCGTTTAAAATCTTTTTTGTAAGAAGTCTTAAAAAGAGATACGAATAAATTTTTCCTCGTATGTGGATGATTTGAAACGAAATGTTCCCATACTAAAATTTAATCGTAGATTACTTCGGTAATAGAGTTATTGTAATGGGGGAAAATGTTTATGTCGATCTGTTTAGGAAACATTAAGTTGGACACATTACGATTAATTAGATTTATGGGGAGACATGCGCATGTTTAAATCGCCATAATGCACGGATTTGTACTGTCACTGCTATGAGTTTAGTGATTTTTGATTAAGGCTACATTTGCATAAACTGAACAAGCTCGGAGTTAACTTCCGACTTGTAGCGGAGTTTTCAGATTTGAAATATTGAAGAGAACTTTATGAGATAATCTAAGCTGCCAGACGAAATGCATTGTTTTGAGACTAATTCAGTCGGGAAATATATTTCATTTAGATTGGTCATGCTGTAAAGAGGGCATGGTTCCACATGAAAACTCTTGGTTTAAATTTGCTAATCGAAAAATTCTAATCAGTCTACACTTTTCTGCAAGAGAAAGCAAACGGAAAAGACACTTGGTCGAATTTAAGAAGTAAATTCATTCGTAAAATTATCCAAGGAATCAATTGTCTGGAAATCGGTAGACACAATTGTGGAAGTAGGAGCTTGAAAGCACAAGTTCTTTTGCACCAATTTTATGCATTTTTTTGACACTTCTAGGATAATTTGTTGATTTCTTTGCTTGTATTTGCATGGATTTATTTCTTCAAATTTGTAGATCAATTTTCCTGATATGAGTATAGCTGTGTTTGATTCATTTGTCTGGATTCGTATAATGATATTTTATAAAATACATTGACGAATCGTTTGAATGTAGTCTCGATTATCATATGACACTATGTATCTAGAATTTCATGCCTTACTTTAGTTAAGATGAGTTACGAGAATCCGCGTGAATTCTCCGACCTTATGTGAGTTCACGTATGGTAACAACGTTCATGTCTGTATTCAGTATAGTTATACCGTAGTAAGGAATTACATTCATTTATTTATGTAATTAAGACGAGACTGGAAATAATGTCTCAGTGGTGAGTTGGAATAGTCATTAGCAGGACCATCAATTTTGTGAAACTAGGTTTGTTTATGGTCTGTCTTGACCAGTTAGAGTAGATACCGTTCGTATCTGTTTAAATTTCTATAGAATTATATCTGACATAACGAGGAGATGGGGTATTAATATATTCTCCCAATATGTGACGGAAAATTGAGGCTGCTTCTTTTGTTACTTTGGAAGGTGAGATAGCTCCACGTGACGTAACACGTATTTACAAAACCAAATAGATGACACGAACGTTAGAATAGCCGAAAGAGGTGAGACACCTGAGAATTTGGAAAAGAAAGGAAAAAGTGGAGTATACTCAGACATACAGGCACAAGGAAGTCAAAAGGACAGTCGCTGTGACTGAATCGAGACTATCAGGTTATGAAACTATGCAAGTCGGTGTTTTTTGATCTTTCACTCGACTTGATGATGCTTTAATTCTATCGTTTAACAGATCGGCTATTGGTATATGCATATTGGTATTTTAAATTCGCTGAATCAGTTAGTTTCATAAAGAAAGAAGTGTATTTTTAGTAATGCATTATTACACTTGTTTATAAATTTTATTGTTTATGAATTTTTGATTAACTTTCATGTATTTATTTGTAACGGGGTTTCGTGCAAGCCTGTTCTATATACCTGCTCAGATCTTTGTCTATTCCACCTATAAGTTTCACACTTTATATTGATACTTACTCGTTCCGAGCAAATTGCACCGACGGCGATCACCTCTAGATAACGATAACCAAAACGACGCTACCCACCCCAACAAAGCTCAGGAAGGGTATTTGACAGTATCGTATGCATTAGTCTATATTACTTCAGTAGTAGCGCCATCGTGTGAATTATTCTGCTTAAAACAGTTCAGCATAGTGACTCGATTTAGTGGTACACACAATGATTTTCTATAAATTTAAAACAGTTTAGTATATTGCCATGATTGGTTATGTGGTAGACATCATGACTTTCTATAGACATTTACAGGTTATTATTTTGGTCTCGATGCCGTGGTACACATTACAACTTTCTATAGGCATTTAAAATAGTTTAGTATATTTCCGCGATTCATTCATCACTATATATATATATATATATATATATATATATATATATATATATATATATATATATATATATATATATATATATATAATGAATACCTATAGGAATTTAAAACAGTGTAGTATATGGCCATGCTAATAATTAAAAACTCATTATCTTATAAGTATGTAATTTTGTCTTTTAATGGGTTGTAAACGTAAGGCATTCATGCTTGGGTGTGTAACACTCTTTTGCGACACATATCCCTACCAGTAGCGTACTAATAGTGGAGGGAGTGGACGCAGCGGTTGCTCCGGGCGCCGGGGGTTTTAGGGTGTCAGTGCCGCTTTGTGTCATCATCGTCTCCCCGGGCGCGATTTACCCTTTGTAGGCCACAAATCTCTACAAGATAATCCATTCACTATGCAGTTAGCAAGTCCTTAGTGGTATTACTAGTCATTTAGTTTGAATATTTCTTGAAGTGACACAGCAATGTGGGTAAACGAAAGCTTTTGTTTTCTTTGTTAAATCGAAAGGTTTAAATCAGGAGGAGGTTGACTGCTCTAAAGCGCTCACCGTTACGGACCACTGCCATCTCACATTTGTCTGCGTGGGATAGAGTCTTAGGTTCAGCCAATGTGGTTATGTGAGAAAGCCAGCCAGTATCTTTTCGTGGGTCGGTGGTTCTTTTCGGGGTTTTCCCGTTTCTTCCTCCACCATTCATACTGGCCACAATTCTTTGCTGGACAATATCGTTAAATCCTACAACAATAACATCAACAAAAACGATGACATCGGCAGATAAAGGACTCCTACGTCTTGAGACATTTATTTACCTATCATAGAACAAGAATACGGAGACGGCTTTTCCGGTAATTATTTTATATCCTCTGTAGTCTATCTATTCTGAAATGTACAGAAATGGTTATCAAGGTTTCAAGGCGATATTGGCGTTAACCTGTGGAACAAATTCCATCTATCATGTGCCACCTATCAAACAATTATCATTTCTCAAACTGAAAATATGTGCAGTTTTTGTTTTCACCTGATATCATGATGAAAATTTGAGCTGACGCCAATTGTGTACACTGTTTTAAATACCGTAATTGCACTAACTGGATAAGTAACTTCGAATATCTTGTGCAAATGAAATGAAATAAATCTTCCGAATTGTAAAATAATAACAATCTCATGATACCGGTGTATGCCAGTCTCTACAGTTTTGCTGTTGTCAATATACGGAACTACGATATTGAAGAAAAAGACTATTCTTGATTATCTTGCTAAGTCAGGCCGTTTGTCACCTTAAACAACGGACAATAATACGACTAGAAAGTTAACCAGCCGAACTAGGTGCTGACATCATCAACCTTTTCCCAATAATGTGTCTGCAAAACCTTTAACATTAATATCTTAAACGTAAACATAAATCGGTGATTCTCGTCAAATATATATTGACAAAAGAAAACAGCATATATCCGCAATATTTCTTCAGTATTTCATTAAACAGCCCTTAACATATAACAAGTCACTGGAGTTAGCTAGGGGTCATCTGTTGTTGGTGACCTTTCGGCGATGTATTCGTCTACAGGTTGTAAGCCTTTCTACTATTGGAAATTTTGTTCTTTCCTGCAATTTGTCTCTTTAATTTTCCGTTCTATTTCCAAGTAGTTTTATCACTGACTAAGGTCAGCACTGCCAAATAAACCATCCATAAACTTGGACTATGTTTCTATACACCATAGCTCAGGCGTGATATCTACCAATGAGCCAGATGTGTAAACAATGACAACAAAACCCTGCAACGATCTATAACTAAAGTGCCAGCAGTGAGCATCTGTGTATACAAAAAGTTGGAAATATTTGCTTAACGAACATAAGTATAATTACTTGTTACATTCAGTAAAGCTTATATGTACAAACTCTCAATTAGATAGGCTTGTATGTGATACGACGGATGTGTTGAATCAGAGCACAACAAAGACGACTTAGCCATAACGTGTGGTTAAGACAGAAGTACTCTTGCAAGAAACAGTCATAATTGCAGGCGTTCACTTGAATGATTAATCAGTCCCGACTGTTTTGATATATGCCAGGTATTCCACATAGGTAATGTTAGAAAGAATCAATGTCATTGTTATTACCAGGCATAGGATTCATGCCACATAGTGTCACAACATGGAGAAACAAAGGTAAGTGTGCTAAGTTGCTCGCAAAAGTAAACTTGAGTACCAGTTTCTTATGATACATTAAAGATTTATTTGACACAAAAATTGGTTTTTATAAACCGCTTGTAACTTTTCCAAAGTTTGGTACACATCAACTGTTATCACAAGGAATCA